CCCCCCCCCCCCCCTTTATTACTGGCATTTTGCTGTGCTGTTTTTAATTATTAATGAAAAGCTTCACCAATTACAAGCCCTACTTCAGTTTCTCTTCTTTCCTCTCCAGGAATGATAGATTTCTGCATTAAAATATAGCTCAATCCTGTAGTAGCTGTTTTAAATTCTGAGTGTTTCAGACAACAGTTTCAGTGATTTCCGCTGCCCCCCTCCCTGTTCCTCAATATTTTCAGGCTGAATTTTTTTTTTTTTTGGTCATTTTGTTATTTGAGAATTTTGGGTTTGGCGGTGGTGGATTCTTTTGGGGTTTTTTTAACTGGCTGTCTTCTTGTAACAGCTATAAGCTATAAGATGAAAACACTTGTAAGCTGTGAAATTATCGAGGAATTTATGCCTAAGATCCCTCTTACTGTTTCGGTCAAAATCTATTTAGTAACTAGGTATTGTGAAATATAACTTTATATGTGTGATATCATTGTACAGTATTGCTTTTATGTTGTATTGGTGTGATATGTAGTTCAGATACAGTTGAGCAGAAATCTGTCATCATTAAATGATCCTGTATGTGAAGATGTGCGCAGAAGTAAAAGCTTTGAAGGAAATCTGTCTGTCAGTTTTCTAATACGCTGTTCCAAACACTGGGCAGTAAGGATGGAAATTAATATCAAGGTGTTGTACAATTAATTTTATACCGACCAAGCTTAACTCTGAATGAAGGAAATATTTGGCTGGTAGGGGGAACAAAGCACAACGAAGTGTAACCTTAAAAATGCTGCTTTAAACCTTGGTGCTTCTCGACTTCTCAGTGCTTCAGTTCTCGTGTGTTTTCCTGTTGATGTGTTCATATCTGTGTTTGCTCTGTGACTTCCATCTAGTCAGTCAAAACCACTCTTAATCATCCATCACCACAGTGAAACAATTTGTTCCAAGTCTTTAAGAAGCCAGAGTTTGATGAGCAGCTGTGTTCCTGCTCTGATTTCCTTTTCCACCTGTTCTTAACTGGTTCTGGCACTTTTCAGATTCTGTGAGGTGATTCCATTTACAAAGGCATATATAGTCTCTACGGAGTGTTTTGGTGGGGGTTTTGTTCACTTTTTATTATTCTATTCTTTTTCTTTTTTGTTTTCCCTGCGTTAATAAATAGAATTGCCTGATGAAGGAATTTGGAGGGTGCCAAGCTAGGGCAGGTTAAGCATCAGAAAGGTGGCTAGAAGCAGAAGGGAGTGAGATCTCCTTTTGGTGGCAGTGAGTGTTCAGAGGTCATGCTGTGAGACTTGATGAATGGATCTGCATCAATTTCGGAACAAAAATTTCTCTTTTTTTTTTTTTTTGTCTTCTGGGAAGGAAAATTGCTCACAGTCTTCTGTGGACCAGACAAATCGTCCTGATGGGTTGTCAAGTGGGTGCTTCTGTTCAGAACTGATAGTTAAGTGCTTCAAGTCTTTTAAATATCTTTTTCCCTCCCCTGCTTTTCCATAGGCTTGTCTTGTTGTTACCACGCAAAGGACAACTTAATGTGCCGTGATGTCTGTGAACAGGTAAGCTTATTTTAAATTTGGTTTATCCCTCAGAGTTAAAATCATGTCTCTAAACAATGATGTAGCAAGATTAGGGTTATAAGGAAATTAATTTTTTGTGTGAATAGTATGGGCAAATCATGAAATGTAATATTAGTGTTATTTAAATGACAACTTAAAAGTTTAAAACTGTAGTCCTTCCTTTCATAGTGGAAAACAGGTTCTGCTGAAGCTGAGGAGAAATAGAGACAGAAATCTGAGGTCAGGATTTGGTCAAGAGGTGATAAGCGTGATAGGAAATGGGAGGGGTGAAGGGGGCCTACAGGAGAGCTGGGGAAGGACTTTTTACTAGGTCATGTAGTGATAGGACGAGGGGGAATGGATGTAAACTGGAAGAGGGCAGGTTTAGATTAAACATTAGGAAGAAAATTTTCACTATGAGGGTGGTGAGGCACTGGAACAGGTTGCCCAGAGAGGTTGTTGAGGCCCCATCCCTGGAGGTGTTCAAGGCCAGGCTGGACGTGGCCTTGGGCAACCTGGTCTAGTGGGAGGTGTCCCTGCCCATGGCAGGGGGGTTGGAACTCAGTGATCTTCAAGGTCCTTTCCAGCCTGAACCATTCTATGATTCTGTTTTACCCAATTTCTGGATCTTGTGTGTTTCCACGTTTTTGGGAATTTAAAATGAAGAACAAGATGTTGGTACTGTTCTTTCTTCGTGGCAGTGCTTGTTTCTTAGCTAAGCATCTGAGATAATCATTATGATATATGGCTTTGTGAATCCAGCAAAAATCTGCTTACTTACTCTGTTCATAAGGTAATAACAAAGAGCTTTTTGTGCTAAATTCAAGCTTGGAAAATACTTTTCCACAACTTATGTTTGGATTTGTACCTTTGGATCATAAGTTGTATAGCTTTGTGTGCGTATTTCTATGAACTTAGATACATAAAAATTTTACATCAGTAAAGAATACATACTTTTTTATATTATAATTGTCTTGAAGTCATACCTACCCTATTTTCTTGTCTTTATTACCTGCTTTGGGACTATTCAAGCACTAAACCTGGTTATGATTAAGTTTATATTTATCTGTGATTGTACTAACAAAACTTTTAGTTTAAAGTACACTTCTCCATCCCTAATGTATTTATAGAATGCAACCAAAACCCCTTTCAACTTTCCTATTGTTAGGCCAAACAAGGAAAATCCTTACAGTCTCTTTGCATAAGATATTCTCTCAATTCCTATAATTATTCTTGCAGCCCTTCCAGCATAAGTTTATCTCTTTGAATACAGGTAAGCAGAACCATACGTGGTTACTATAAACGGAAGTGTAGCACTCAGTCTTAAAAATAGTGATAAAACTTATGTCTAAGTAAGAGAAAGATATGCATTCCTGTACATAAACAAATCTAATTGGCAGGTTTAGTAGCTGCATTGAGAGGGCATTTGGAATAGTTGGTCCAGTTCTTTCTTCTTTTCCGTTGGTTTGAAGTTCCTAGTTTATCATGTGAATTCCTGTTAGCTGTTCATGAAAAGCCTGGAGCTTTTTGCTGTCAAATTTCATCCCGTTTCTGTTATACTGGTTCTAATTATTGTGTAGGGTTTTCTGTGGGTTTTGTAATATATTCTGATCTTGCCTCATCTGGATGATCTCTCTCTACTCAGATAATCAGCATATTCAGTCTCTTTGTGGTGAGAGGTCTAGAACAAGTCTAAAGTAAGACGGGCACCCCTCAAATTGTTCTATAAGGAACTGTCTTAGTTACCTCACATCAGGCTGGTAGCATCATTTTGTGAATAACCCTTTGATATAGGCCAACACACTGGCTGAAGGGGCTGTCTTCTAATTTCTTAGTGATTTTCATGTTCTGTAACTTAACCGTTGTGTGCAGCACAATTCAAATGCTTTGTCTATGTTGAATCTGTTTTGGAATGTATTATGTGATACTCACCCCCTTGTCTTAAACATAAAATTTATAGGATGATGGTTTACATACATGGGAGGTGACTGTGAGGGAACAGAGTTGGCTGAATGATTTGCCTTTTTCTGTTTTTCTTAACACCTTTTCTAAAATATTGGCCATGCACTTGTTGTCTTCTCTGCCATTCACTTGTTGTCTTGTTTGTACCACCACACTGTACCACCCTGACATGATAATTTCTTTAATAATAATAGAAAAAATATTTTCCTCTTAGACTTGGTAGTTTGTGCCATAAAAAGTTGAAGTTGTTTGCCAGGGACAGCAGGGAAAGAGAGCAGGCTTGTGCCCCATATTTCTATTTAACTAATGCTTAGGAAACACCAGTGACCCAGGTGCGCAGACAGGAATTTGGGTGTTAACACAGCCGTTTCTTGTGGAGAGGACCAGCAGGAGGTGCAGATGTACTGCTTGAGGCTGTGTGCACCTGGTATGTCCAGAAGGACAGTCTCTGACACTGGCTAGGCCAACCAGTCATGACGTGTTGCAGGTCTGGACCCATAGTGAGCTCTTGAGGAAGAATATGTCTATCCAAGTTTTGGACTGCAGGGAAAGGATGGTGTCTCTCCTTGAGTCAATGGTACTCAAACTGTGGGAGTCATGCTCTGGTCAGCTTCCTGAACGGTCAGATAAAGAAGCCAAGGATAGAATCATTGCCTCTGTGTACATGGGAGCTAGACCAGCTCTTCATGGAAAACCTGCAAGGGCAGTAACCTGAACTATGCGTTGCATGGAAAGAAGAATGGCCAGAGGCTGTGCTAAGTGGAGTCTGAAAGTTTGTGTCTGTCTTTGAATATGCACTTACAAAATAGATTTGGGGCCTTAGGACAGGTGAGGAGGAACAAGTAACATCATCACTTGCATCCCATGCACTTCTGGATGTTCGGTTTACTTAGGTGGTGCTTAACTTGATCTTGCTGTGCTGTGGGTAGTATTCATTCCCCTGATAGTTTCGATAGTCTCTTTAGGTTTTGTTCATCTTTGTTGCACAAAAATTACTTTCTTCAGGTTTTTTTGGAAGGAGTTTAGTTGCCTGAGGTCATGTAACATGTTGGAGAAAGTTAATTAAATAAGAGTTGTATAATACATTGATATGTGGGGCAGAAATCCTCTTATATTTTTCGCACTGCCTATTCAGTTGAAACTTTTTGGTTGAAGTGTTTGAGGATTCACATCTAAATATAAAAATTCCTTCTTCATAAAAAGTGGAACATATTTGAAAGACTACAAATACACAAATAAGACTACAAATAAGTTAAGAAAATCTTAACTTTACATTGTTTACATATTAACTGTTAGCCAAAGTTGTCAAGGGTAGATAGTAGTGAAACTAAAAACAAAGAAATCAATGGAAAAAGGTATTCAGTATGTAGTTACATTCTATATGTTTTAAGGTATGTTTTGTTTTTAACAGATTTTGTCTTCTAAGAGTGATTCACGTTTGAAGCACTTACTGCAACGAGCACCTGAGTATTGTCCAGAATCAATGGTAAGGCTGGCTAGTTTTTAATTAAAGAAAACAAAACAACTAATTTTATATTAACAAACTTTGGCTTTCAAAAATAAGGTTTTAAAATTACTTGCATTTTATTTACTCGCTCTGTTTCGAGCTGGTAGAACACGTGTGTATGTCTTCAAGCTGCTTCTTCCTTGTTATGAGGACTAGGAAAATTCTTATAATGAAATCTGATCCTCAAAGTAGGATTTTTTTTGTCAGTGACAATGACAGTAGGATTGAGCACACACTCAACAAGTTTGCCGACAATACCAAGCTGTGGGGTGCGGTCGGCATGCTGGAGGAAAGGGATGCCATCCAGAGGGACCTGGACAGGCTTGAGAGGTGGGCTTGTGTAAACCTCATGAGGTTCAACAACGCCAAATGCAAGGTCCTGCACCTGGGTCATGGCAATCCCGTGCGCAAATACAGGCTGGGTGGAAAATGGATTGAGAGCAGCCCTGAGGAGAAGGACTTGGGGATGTTGGTTGATGAGAAGCTCAACATGAGCCAGCAGTGTGCGCTTGTAGCCCAGAAAGCCAGCTGCATCCTGGGCTGCATCAAAAGACGTGTGGCCAGCATGTCAAGGGAGGTGATTCCGCCCCTCTACTCCACTCTTGTGAGACCCCCCCACCTGGAGTGCTGTGTCCATCCTGGGCTGCATCAAAAGACATGTGGCCAGCATGTCAAGGCAGGTGATTCCGCCCCTCTTCTCCGCTCTTGTGAGACCCCCCACCTGGAGTGCTGTGTCCAGCTTTGGAGTCCCCAGTACAAGAAGGAACATGGGACTGTTGGAGCGGGTCCAGAGGAGGACCACAAAGGTGATCAGAGGGCTGGAGCACCTCTCCTATGAGGACAGGCTGAGAGAGTTAGGGTTGTTCAGCCTGGGGAAGAGAAGTCTCCAGGGAGACCCTATAGTGGCCATCCAGTATCTGAAGGGCACCTACAAGAAGGCTGGAGAGGGACTTTTTACAAGGGCATGTCATGACTGGATGAGGGGTAATGGCTTCAAACTAGAAGACTTTAGAGATTTAGATTAGATAGCAGGAAGAATTTTTTCACTATTAGGGAGGTGAGGCACTGGAACAGGTTGCCCAGAGAAATAGATGCCCCATCCCTAGAGGTGTTCAAGGCCAGGCAGGATGGGGCTTTGGGGAACTTGGTCTAGTGGAAAGTGTACTGCCCATGGCAGGGGTCTTGGAACTAGACAATCTTTAGGTTCCCTTCCAACCTAAACCATTCTATGACTCTGTGATTCTTTGAAAATGAGAAAATGATTGACACAATGATTTTTCTAACTCCCAATTACCATCTTAATAAGTGGCAAGTTTACTGTCCAGTGTGTATCTTAAATTAATATTGCTGAAATGGTAATATTTATAAACATTTGTAAAAGACATCTAGCTATAAAATAGTTAACAGTTCACCTTAATACCATATTTGCTGTTTTCAGATACCACTTGTCTTTGTTGAAAAGGTGTTCTAGTGACATTCCACATATGAGCAGATGGATTATGAATTTAATGAGATGGTCTGTTTTCTGGAACGCCGGTTACAGACATTGTGTTGTGTATATTCCTTCAGGTAATATGATAGAAAGCATATTGCCTGGTATTAAGTAATACAGTAACTGCCAGCACAAGAGGCTACTTTATATTAGAATCATAGAATCATTGAGGTTGGAAAAGGCCCTTAAGATCATTGAGTTCAACCATTAACTTTCTCATGCAATAGAGGAAGTCAACTGAATCAATGGGGTGGAACTAGTAGAAGTAGCAGCTCTTTACTCTTTTCTTTTGAGCTAACTTTGACTTTTGTCTGAGGGGGAAACCTCCTACAGATATGGAGGAGGATAGTTTTAGATCATTAGATACAGATCCATTGCAACTTCAGAAAGTCATTAATTCCTGTGATGTCAGAATCATTGCATGACAATATGGGTTGCCGTTTCAGTGTGATTTAATTGAACGTTTCGTTTTGTCTTAAAGAACATGTTCAACACCCTTTGATTTAAGGCCCCTTGTGGTCGGTTGACCTTAGCTAGATGCCAGGTCCCCACTGAGCCACTTTATCACTCCACTTCCTCAACTGGACAGAGGAGAGAAAATATGACAAAAGGCTCATGGGTTGAGATAAGGACTGGGAGATCTCTCGCCAATTACCGTCATGGGCAAAACAGACTCGGCTTGGGGAAATTAATTTAATTTATTGCCAATCAAAAGGTCAGAGTAGGATAATGAGAAATTAGAACAAATCTAAAAACACCTTCCCCTCACCCTTCCCTTCTTCCCGGGCCCAGCTTCACTCATGATTTCTCTACCTCCTCCCCCTGAGCGTCACAGGGGCAGGGCAAATGGGGGTTGCGATCAGTTCATCACATGTTGTCTCGGTCACTCCTTCCTCCTCATGCTCTTCCACTGCTCCAGTGTGGAGTCCCACTGACAGGAGACAGTCCTCCATGTACTTTGCAGCATGGGTCCTTCCCATGGGCTGCAGTTCTTCAAGAACTGCTCCAGTGTGGTTTCTTTCCATGGGGGGAAGTTCTTCAGGAACAAACTGCTCCAGAGTGGGTCTCCTGCAGGGCCACAAGTCCTGCCAGGAAACCTGCTCTAATGTGGGCTTCTCTCCACAGGGCCACAGGTCCTGTTAGGAGCGTGCTCCAGCATGGGCTTTCCACAGGCTGCAGCTTCCTTCAGGGCACATCCACCTACTCTGGTGTGGGGTCTTTCGTGAGCTGCAGCTTGGGTACCTGCTCCACTATTAACCTCCATGGGCTGCATGAGGACAACTTGCTTCACTATGGTCTTTACCACAGGCTGCGGGGGGAATCTCTGCTTTGACACCTGGAGCACCTCCTCCCCCTCCTTCTTCACTGACCTTGGTGTCTGCAGAGTTGTTTCTCTCAGGTGTTCTCACTCCCCTTTCCCAGCTGCTGTTGCATAGCCGTTTTTACCCTTTCTTAAATATCTTATCACAGGGGTGCTACCGCCATTGCTGATTGTTTGGGCATTGGCCAGCAGCACATCCATCTTAGAGCCAGCTGGAACTGGCTCTGGTTGACATGGGGAAAGCTTCTGGCCATCTTCTCGCAGAAACCACCCCTGCAGCCCCCTCCCTCCCCCCAAAAAAACCTTGCCACTTAAACCCAATACACTCCTTAAGACTTGTCACTTGCCTTCCTACTCTCTGCAGAATTTTGAATTTTCCTCTGATTTAATCTAATTAAGGTTTTCCTAGTGCTTGCTTAAAAAATATTGAATTCAATAACATTGTACTAAAATACATGTAATCCTTCAAGGCTTTTCTGTACTCTTGTCATTTTAAATACTATGCTGTGATCATATTGTCTAAGTGTTGTAAGGCTTCAGTTGTAGGACGTTAAACTTCTAGCATACAGTGTATAGCAACTCCCACAGCTTTTAGTTCTTCAGGCTTCTGACACAGTGCACCCCCTGTAACTGTGAGACATACTTGTTTCTGAGAGTTGAACTAATTTCTTACCTTAGACAGAATTCTTCCTCTGCTGCCTAATCTTCCAAGACATTTGTAACTTTCATTGGGTGAGTAACATAAGTACCTGTGGCAGACCAGTGTCTGACCTGAGATTTCTTTTATAATAGCCTCAGTGTATAGGGCAGAGTCAACTTGGCTAAAAAATAAAAAAAACATTTACAGAATTCTTCTGCCTAATACCATCAGCCACTTAAGTCATTTAGCAGAACCTGTGCTTAGGACCAGAAATGCTTTGCAGTTGGGGTAAAGCCAACAGATCCCCATTGTAATTTTTCATGTTGGTAAACTTCACTTATACAGCTCTTTCTGCCATGTATTTATCTTTCCCTGAAGCTACAGTTCTCTGGTCTCTAAGGTACCTTAAAACCTCTTTCTTTTGTTTTGTGGGTGATTATGCGTGTTGTTTGGGGTGTTTTTTAAGCTGGTGGAAAGGAGTGCTAGGGCAATAAGCTTCTCCACAGGTCTTGGTTCTTGATAAATCTTTTCTTTGTTGAAACAGTTGTTATTTAGTTCTCCAAACACAGGTGGAGAAAGTTGACTAGCTAGCCTATTCCAGGTAATCATAGCATGTTCTGCACCTACAATACACTGCTATTGATTCCATACTCTGTAGACGGCAGCCTTCTCGTCAAAGCAAGTGATACTCAACTTATCTTTTGAAAAAGGGCTAAGTGATATGTTTTAGACATAAGAATTCTTCCAGTAGCATATGTAAAACCCAGGGCAAAAATGCTGAAAATGCTGTTTTGTGTCTGCTAGAAACTCTGTTATTCTATAGACTTACTTTTGCTTAATTGCATTTTACTTTTCAGGGAGAAGTGTGGGGTTGTATAAATTCTTCTTTGCCAGGTAAGAAATAGTAGTTTGCTTTTGAATCATGTTGCTTTTTCGCCATCTGCATGTTTTGATGTTATGTCTGTGACCTGCACCTATAGATTTCATGCTAATTTTACTTTCATTATGTTTCCATTATAAAGTGTATTTGATGTCTAGTTTCCTTTAGACTAAACTGGGTTACCTGTGCTTTTTTTAACACTTTTTTTCTTTTTCTAGTTAGAAAATGTTGAATTGATTGAACGTGTGTGCTTCTGTGACACATCCAAGAAATAGCAGTTTCTTTCCTTTAAAGATTTTCTATTATTTTCATTTTCAGGATACCTTAATCTGATCTATAAAATCATGGATTACTGCAACTTTGCTCTAGATGCAGTATAATTTGGAAAAAAAACTGAGTAACAGGGGAAAATAGTAAGAACTAGACAAATAATTCAAGAAGTGCAGAGGCTCAGATCAAGAGGCTAAATGCTTGGTACAGGTGGATTTAGAAAGTTAAAGCATAAATCACAAGACAGAACTGTTGTGTTAAAAGAAGACATCAAAAATAGGCAAAATTGGATTTAACTAGTACTATTGTATCATATGTCATTTGTAAAAGAATTTGAGTGAAATTAGCATGCTATGGTTGAAAAAGTGGTAGTGAGGAAAGAGGAGGCTGTAGCAGTTTTATAGCATCTGCTCAGACTTCCCCCCACCCAGATTCAAAGGCAAACTGTTGGTTCCAGTGCCTACAAAGAGATTTACTGTCTTATATTTTGCTAGTTTTACTTAACCAATAATATTTTTTGGAGTTGCAGTGCTTCTGTCTGATCTAAAACCTGATAAATTTTAAGTGGGAGACAATACCTAATCTTCATGGAAGCTCAGTTAAGCAAACTGAACGCAAGTCTGTGGGACCTGATGGATACCCTTGAGTGCTGAGGGAGTTGGCTAATGTCATTGCAAGGTCACTCTCAATAATCTTTGAAAGGTCATGGCTGTTGAGAGAGGATGCTGAGGACTGGAAAGGACTGGAAAAAGCAAATGTCACTCCTGCCTCGAGAAAGGGCAAGGAAGACCTGGGCTGATCAGTCTTATCTCACACCCTGGGGCAGTAATGGAGCAGATCTTCCTGTGAACCATTTCCAAACACATCAAGGACAAGAAGGTGACTGGTTATAGTCAGCGTGGATTTATGAAGGGGAAATAGTGTGTAACCAACCTGATAACCCTCTATGATGAGATCACTAGCTTGTTAGAGGAGGGTGGAGAGTGGATGTTGTCTATCTCAACTTTAGTAAGGCTTTAAGCGCTGTTTTTTGTAACATCCTTAGAGACAAACTGATGAAGTGTGGGCTAGATAAGTAGACATTGGAGGTGGATTGAAAACTGGCTGAACTGCTGTGCTCAAAGGTTTGTGATCAGTGTCACAGAGTCCAACTGGAGGCCAGTATCCCACAAGTGTACCTTCAGTGTATTTGCAGATGATACAAAACTGGGAGGAGGTGTTGCTAGACCAGATGGTTGTGCTGCACTTCAGAGGGATGTTGACAAGCCAGAGAAATAGACAGACAGGAACTTCATGAAGTTCCAAAAAAGGAAACGCAAAGTCCTGTACCTGATGAAGGCCCCATGTTCCACAGTACACAGGAGGCTGGCCATCTGGAAAGCAGCTTTGTAGAAACAAAGCTTTGTGGACAGCAAGTGGAACGTGATCCAGTAATGTACGCTCGTGGCAAAGGCCAACAGCACTCAGGCTGCATTAGGAAGGGTGTTCCCAGCAGATCAAGGGAAGTGATCCTCCCCCTCTGCTCAGCATTGCTGAGACCACATCAGGGATACTGTGTCCAGCTCTGGGCGCCTGGGAAAGATATGAACACACTGGAGCAAGTCCAGCAAAGAGCCACTTTAAGATGATTAAGTGACTGGGACATATATGAGGACGGGCTGAGAGAGCTGGGATTGCCTACCATTGTCAAGAAGAGAAAGCTGAGGAGGGTGGATCTTATCAACATCACCTTGAGGGACGTGATTCTGCCCCTCTATTCCACTCTTGTGTGACCCCATCTGTAGTACTGCATCCAGGTCTGGGGCCGTGGACATGGGCTTGGGCCTGCTGGAGCCAGTCCAGAGAAGGGCCACGAAAATGATCAGAGGGTTGAAGCACATCTGCTATGAAGGCAGTCTGAGAGAGTTGGGGTTGTTCAGCCTGGAGAAGAGAACGCTCCGGGGACACCTTATTGCAACCTTTCAATAGTTAAAGCAGCCTTATAAGGAAGATGGGAACCGACATTTTAGCAGGGCTTGTTGCAAAGAGCAGGTTCCAGGGAGACCTTACAGCAGCCTTTCAGTACTTAAAGGGTGCCTACAGGAAAGATGGAGAGGGACTCTTTATCAGGGGGTATAGTGATAGGATGAGGGGTAATGGTTTTTAACTGAAAGAGGGTAGATTAAGGTTAGATAATAGGAAAAAATTCTTTACTCTGAGAGTGGTGAGACACTGGAAGAGGTTGCCCAGAGAAGTTGTGGATCCCTGGAAGTGTTCGAGGCCAGGTTGGAGGGGGCGTTGAGTAATGCGGTCTAATGGAAGGTGTCCCTGCCCAGGGCAGGGGGCTTGGAACTAGATGATCTTTAAGGTCTCCTCCAACTCTAACCATTCTATAATCAATATTTATAATTATCTGATGGAAGCGTGTAAAGAAGATGGAGCTATGCTCTTCTCAGTGGTATCTAGTGGCAGGACAAGAGGCAGTGAGCACAGATTGAACAAGGGCAATTTCCACTGAAATGTAAGAAGAAAATTTTTTACTGTAAGGATGTTTGAACAGTGGAAGAGGTTGCCCAGAGAGGTTTTAGAGTCTCCATCTGTGGAGGTATTCAAAACCATATTGGGCATGGTCCCGGGCAGTCTGCTCTAGCTGACCTTGCTTTGAGCAGGGAGGCTGGACTAAACAGTCTCTAACAGTTCCTTCCAACCTCAGTGATTCTGTGTTTTTCTTTCTGATTTTTCTTCCCTTTGACAACCCTCAGTACAGAAAGTATTTCATAACAGAGTTTAGAATGGGGCCACAAACTGAGTTTTGACTGGATCAGCATCTCTGATTTTTCAGAGTACAGCATCCACAAAGCTTTCACACACACGGACACAGACACTATGTTGAAAGAGTATACGGCCTTCCCAACATCAGTGTTGTCATGGACAGTTGCAGAATATTGACTGGATAAACAGATGACTTTGATAGTTATTTTCTTTCTTAAGAGCTGTATGATATGCCTGGCAGTTTAGTTAAGAATGCAGGTGGAAAGCTGTTTTACATATGGGTTTTCAATGGCATCCTCTCATAATACAACATATATGCTAAATAATTTGGGGCTTTGCCTTATAATTTTGCTGCTTTATATATATCCTCTGTGTATTTTCATTATGGTTTGTGTTTTCTCCTGTTCCATCCCTTCCCCACAGCAACTTGATATTACTGATCTATGTTAAAATTTTGCAATTGTTTGATTTACCAGTAGCTTCATTACAATAGTTACCTTAAAATTTTAATATTCTCACAGCTACCACTTGAGCTTTTTCACGTTTCCAGTTCCTTAAACCCATCAGGATGGTTTTCTATTAACTTTATTTTATGGCTCATCCTCACAAAACAACACTGTAAGTCATGTTTTATTATCCTTGCCAAGACAGTGTTGTAAGCCTTAAATACTTAAAACTAGATGTTCAAGAATGTAAGTATTCTCTGACAAAAAAATGTTTTCCATGTTTTCTGAAGGCAAATACCATTAGTTTGTCAATGGTTGTTTATTAAATCCAGTAGGCCCACAGAACATGTATTATTTTTTGGGACTTGTCTAGGAAACTAAAGTTTCTTTATGACCATGATACTGTTCAAGATACTGCTTATAAAAGATGATCGAGGGACCCTCAGCTGGCGGGGGGGCAGAGAGGGGGAGAGCAAACCCAGCAACCTGTAATTCCAAATGACAACTATGTTCTGATTTTAAGCTTTGTCATTTTCTGTAAGTAGACTGTTGAAGACTTCAAAGAGACAACAAAATTATTCTGACTTGGGCTTTCTTGCACCCTTCTTGACACATGCAGCTCTTGAACGTGAGAAGCCTACTTGTTTTTCACTTTCTTCTTTTTCCATCTTCCTGTTTGTTTTCCTCCTCAGTTTCCTCAGGGTCACAGTGATCCAGCATTTCTCAGGTGTTTTCAGAATGTAGAATGTTTCTCTCATCACAAAATAAATGTATCGGAGATGAGATTCTAATTTTTCGTATTTATACAGCTTTTTACTTCTGTTTCTGACTTCAATACTCTTGTGGAGACTGCAGTAAAATGTTTATAATAAGGAAGAAAAATGTGCGTGTGTTGTAAGTCATGTCACTAATGTGATGTGGCTTTTGGAAACCTTTTGGAGAAGATGTGGGACGAGAGCCTGTGTTATGCAACTAGATGATTTTTTTTTTTTATAGTTAAGGAACAGTCAGAACTGTGGACTCCGGTCAATTAATTGCGCACTGAATGCATATTTTCATCTAGAAATGCATGCATTTTAATTACCTTGACTACAAAACTAATTTTTAAATTGCTGTATTAAAATTGCAGTTCAATGTTTTTTTTTAAGATGTGACATTAACTTTTTTTCCTCTGCAAACTTGTCTGCTACTCGTAAATATTCTGGGGAGTGGTCCAGTTGCCAAGAAAATACTAACTGTGGCTGAAACTTATCAACATTCTTAATTTGGCATGTATTTGTAGCTTGCTTCATTCTTTTAGCACAGTTTAGTTCCAGTAAAAGTATGTCTGAAAACCACAGGCTCTGTATTGCACAAAATATGGATGCTTGATTATTCAGTGGTGATTCACTGGTGACTATTCAGTGGTGACATTGCCCCTAAAGCTGTACAGCTGTATTTATCATGTGTTTCTCCTGGACATAGCTGGTTATTGCAGCATAGATTTCTGGAAATCTTGTTTTTGTATTGCATGTTATATTTCTTTTACATTTTTTAAATTGCTTATACCTTGCAGTGTCAATCCTACTTAAAAATATTCTACAGAATGTTACGGTTTTGATTGAAAGGAATCTGTGTATAGCTCCACATATGAGAGTTATGCAGAAACAACTGCTACGTAATTTTTAGGCCTAAAATAAGATGTAGTGGGTAGGTGATTTGGCAATTAACTTTGTATGTAATTAAACATGTGTGCATTACTTTCATGTAGACATGCATTTGCTTTTGGAATTAGTTTAAAACAATGCATCAGATCCTAACTTTTTGAACATTGATTACAAACTACTGATATGTGTACAACAGCCATCTCTTTAACATTTTCAAAAAGATGCTCAGCCTCTGAAAAACTAATTCTGTACCCCAGTTGTGGAAGGGGAAGGTGGGCTGAAATTGAAGTTGTTTGCAGCCATAAAAGCTGCTTCGAACTACTTTGAATTGGAAAGGTGAGCCAATAATCTGAATAGATGTGAAGAGGATTTGGACAATCTCCAAAAAGACTGGTAAATAGGTGTCCTGCAGTGCTTCCAGAAGGTCTGGACCATTCAGATGGTACACAGCCACTTCAAACTGACAGAATGCAGGATGCAACCAAAAGCTCTTCTTCACCTTTGCCTCTCTGCTCCCTCCACCTGCTATGCAGTCCTGCTACCTTGCTTGTGTTGAGCATTAAGGTTTCAATTTGCATTTTAATAAAAGTAATTAATATTGTAAATTTAATTTGTTAGTTTAATTTTAATATGTTAGTTTAGCTAAAGATTTTACTCCACCTTAATGAATTTACCATTGGTGTGTTTTCTTAATTTGCCCATCAGAATGTCATGAAAGACTGATATTGGTAAGACTTTCTATGCCACCTGTGTTTTTTTAAAGCTGACAAAGTGTATTTTAAAGGCAATTTTGTTCATGATACATACCTACTGGTGATTGTTTAACATTAATTGCAATGATTTTTAATGACTTTTTTTACAGTATTTCCTTAGTATTTGAATGAGCATTAGCTCTCTGGTCTCAGGTGGTTAAAAATAAGAAAACTCATGGGTTGAGATAAAGACAGTTTAAGAATTAAAAAATAGAAGAAAAAAACCCAAAACAACAAAAAGAAAGGGGTGGGGCGATGGACACCAAGACAAATGATGCAAAAGAAAACAATTGCTCACCACCAACCAAACGATGTCCCCAGGCAACGGCAGCCCCTGCCAACCTCCACCCCCAGTTTCATTACTGAGCATGATGCCATATGGTCTGGGATATCCCTGTGGTCAGTTGGGGTCAGCTGTGCCCACCGTGTCCCTTCCCAACTCCTTGTGCACCCCCACCCTACTCGCTGGTGGGGTGGTGTGCGAAGCAGAAAAGGCCTTGACCATGTGTAAGCACTGCTCAGCAGTAACTAAAACATCCCTGTGTTATCAACACTGTTGTCATCGCAAATCCAAAACAGCCCCATTCCAGCTACTGTGAAAAAACTTAACTCCGTCCCAACCAAAACCAGTACAGGAAGCTTGAAGAAAAAGTAAAAAACTTATTCTGGATTAATAAAATTCATAATACAGTATTGAAACCAACAAGGGGATGTGTCTGTAGGAGCTAACATGTTAATTTTAATTAAGGGTTTTTTCCTGTTGGTTTCTGTTGTCGTATATTTCAGATTAGATAAATCAAATTCTCAAACTCTGATACTTCCAGTGAACATATAAAATATTTTGCATAAAGCATCTTTAAACTCAGTGTATAGAAGGTACTTTGTAATTGCCAAGTTCAGCATTTATTAAGGCACAGACTTGCTCTCTTCTTGCTTAAAGTTAGTTTGGAATGACTTCATAAATTCCAATGAAAATGTAAACTGTAAATAGGCTTCTTGAATGAGAACAGGATTATCAAATTTGAAGAGTAACTGACTCATTGGGAGGGAAGAGAAGATGATGGCATAGTTTCTGTTTCTACTGTAATACGTACTGTAATCTTATTTTCAAAGGAGTTTTGAAGAAGTCTGACGGGTGGGTTGGTTTAGGTTGCTGTGAGCTAGCTATTGCTGTGGAATGTCGGCAAGCGTGTAAACAGGTAAGGCTTTCTAATTGTTTTTCTGTGGTTAATCTCAGATGATGCTGTGTTGAATTAATTTATGTATTAGTGTTTATGAACTTCAGGCTTAATGCATTTTTTCCGTCAAAATTAAATTCTCACATAAACACTTTTTTAAGTTGCAAAATATGACTAGATACTTCCCAGGAAATAACCACTGGTGATAAATGCCAGCAGCCAAATTCCAAAAACCAAACCAAGGAATCTGTTTTTAAAGTGAATGTTCAGTAAAAAAGTGAAAGTTCAAGTCTACTGAGATGAAAACCTAGTTAAAAAAGAGTGTTGAGTTTGGATATGTAATTTCAACTGCACTGTAGGACTAGGCTGCCTGCTATGACTTGATGAGCCTGAAGAAGAAATTTTAAGACCTTAGGGTTAGCTGTGCCTTTTTTTGTACATTCTGATGCCACATTTAATCACTCAGTAATGAAGATATAGTTAAAATGAAGTCTTACTGGTTTTATAACTTTGACACATCAGAAATTCCAGTGTGAGAGCTCGCGAGCTGGCTGCAGGCATGTCCTAGCACCACTGCACTTGGCAAATGGAGCTAATCCATTTAATTTTGCTTTGCAAACAGTAGGCATGTGATTATTGCTGATGTGCTCTAGTTTCTTACATCCTAGTAATTTATTGACTAAATCCGTAAAGATCCTGAAGCTCTCTTTTATTATGCTAAACTTAATTTCTTGAAATTTTTTTGTCACAGTCTCTACATGAAAGTTATTGCTTTAAAATAATGTTGAGTGGAAGGTGACGTGTGGCTGTTCCTCAGCTCTCTTTTTTTGCAGTGTAAAGTTTAGCGATGCAACATTGTGGTTAAAGCCCCACATAGATTTTTATGCCTCTTCAAAGAGGTTTTTGTTCATCAAATGGAAGAAAGTTGGTTTTAGTGTTACTATATCACTATTTTTGTCAAGTGACAATTTTAACCATAATACATAAATTTAGCAATGACCTTTTCATTAAAAATGTGTGAAGCATTTTGTGATTTTTATTTTTTTTGCTCACCAAATATATGCCTTAAAAACATCTTCAGAGTCAAAAAAAGCATATAATTATTTATCATCATCATTGTAACTCAGTTCTGGAGCACAGACATTCTTAATATTCACTGCAGTATAGAATTATATAGATTGGAAAAGACCTTTAAGGTTGTTGAGTCCAAGTGTTACCCTAGCACTGCCACATTATCACTAAACTATGTCCCTCAGCACTCAGTCTACGTGTCTTTTAAATACTTCCAGGGATGGTGACTCAACCACTGCCCTGGGCAGCCTTTTCCAATGCTTGTCAACCCTTTCGGTGAAGAAATTTTTCCTCATATCCAATTTCAACCTCCCATGGCGCAACTTGAGGCCATTTCCTCTTGTCCTGTCGCTTGTGACTTGGGAGAAGAGACTGACGCCCAGACTCCTTTCAGGTAGTTGTAAAGAGTGATAAGGTCTCCCCTGAGCCTCCTTTTCTTCAGGCTTAAACAACCCCGGTTCCCCCAGTTGCTCCTCATAAGACCCTTCACCAGTTTCATTGCCCTTCTTTGGGCATGCTCCAGCACCTCAATGTCTTTTTTGTAGCAAGGGGCCCAAAACTGAAGACAGTATTTGAAGTGTGGCCTTATGAGCGCCAAGTACAGGGGTACAATCACTTCCCTAGTGATTGTCCTGCTGGCCACACTGTTTTTGATACAAGCCAGGATGCTACTGGCCTTCTTGACCACTCAGGCACACTGCTGGCTCATATTCAGCAGTCTGTCGACCAGTACCCCCAGAGCCTTTTCTGCCGGGCAGCTTTCCAGCCATGCTTCCACAGTCCTGCAGTGCTGCATGGGGTTGTTGTGACCCAAGTGCAGGACCTGGCACTTGGCGTTGTTGAACCTCATACCATTGGCTTTGGCCCATCGATCCTGCCTGTCCAGATCCCTCTGTAGCGCCTTGTATCTTGCAAGTTACCTGTGTAGTCTTAATCTTGACCAGCAGCCTACTGCAGATTGCTATCATGCAAAATAAAAAAGATGCTACCTTCACTCAAAAGCGTAGAGTTTAAACCAATTGACAAGAGATGAGCAGTGAGTAAACAAACTGGGTACTTCTGATCTTCTGACAAGAAGATACATGTGTTCCCAAATGCATTTCTTAGCAAAGTTTTCAAATTTATGCTAATGGTTGTTTTCAGAACTGATAAAAACAATTCCATTTATTGCAGCGTCCTGTGAAATTCTGTTAATTTAATCTTGTGATTGTTATATCATTTCTCATTATTCTCACAATGCAGATGCTGTATTGTTTGATTGCAGACTCTACTGTCTCAGAATCTTGGGTATATTTTGTACTTTAGCTGACTCTTTTTGATACATTTCATATGATTTTCATTTAAACTAGAATATAGATACTTGCCAAACATTAGGGATAATGGGAAATATTTGGATTTAAATTTTGATTCTTGAAACTTGAGGGGGTTTTTGAGGCATTTTGAAGAAGGTGATATGATAGGTCCAAGGTCAGACTTCACCCTGGCGTTTTAAATTACTGGAGGGGGAAGAAACTAATGTTAGTAGTAATAATAATGTTGAATATCTGTCACGCGAAAAAAGAGCAAGAGTTACTCTACAGAAGAAACTGATCTGCAGTTTGAAGGGAGAATGTCTGCAACTCAGTTTGACAATAAAAACCATAGGACTGTACGTACAAGAGGGAGGAGAAGGGACAGAGGCACATAAGTGGTACTGCATGCAAAATGGGGAGATTTTTATGCTCAAGTTCTTTCATTTCCTAAATGTTTCCTGTATTCTGTTCTATGTGCTAAACCTTTCACAAAACCAAAGTTGTTTTGTGTGCTTCCAGTATCAACTAGCTTGATGCAGAAATACAAGGTTTTGGTTTTTAATTAAATGTAGTATTGACAGTCACAGTTTCTGCTTTTTTTTCTTAAAGATTTACATGGATTCTTTAGGTTCTTAAAACGGAACATTTAAGTAGACCATAAATCCATGGCTATCACAGTTAATATAAAGGTAGAATCGTCTTTATTTTGCAACGTGATTTTATTATTTTCTACTACAAATGGAGAAATTTATCTGTCTTTCAGGCTTCTGCAAAGAATGATGTTTTAAAGGTCTGCAGGAAGGAATACGAGGTATGTGTATATGTGTATGGATATACCTTATTAAAAATCAACTATTTTATAAATATTTTATAAGTTCTGTAAAAAGTATCCTGTAGAAGAGGGAAAGTCCAGTCGTCTTATAGTCATATTTTTGATATACTCATTTTCATCCAACTGTAAATTACCTCTCTACAGTTTTTGTACAATTATTTTCTATAAAAAGGGCTTGTCATTTTTTAGACTTGCGTATATCTTCATCTGAATGAAAAAGATGCAACTTACAAAATGGAGACATGGATTCCAAAAAAAGTTTGTTTCATTGGAGTTCTATGAAAGTCAGCATTCATTGTGAGCATTCATTCTGTCAGAAACATTTCAGCTTCTATAGTACAAGAGTCAGCTTTAAAGTGACCTAAAGAATTACACTCCAGAAAGAATAACTTTTTAAGTATCCTATCCTAATGTAAATCATTCCAAATGAATAATTTTCTTTGTAACATCAGTGAAACTATGAATGCTTGTAGTTATTTTTGTGGTTCTGCTCATAAAAGTAATCATTAGGATATTTTCAGAAATCTGCCTTTAGCTATATTCTGTTTAACACAGTTTGTAGAAATGCTACTCCACTAGGACTTTTTTCTTTTGATCTTTTTCTTAATTCAAAGCCAGATTCCTCCTCCCCTCTTTCATCTCATTTCCTCCTGCCCTGAATTAGGTAGTCCTGCATAAATTCTGCTCATAATCAACAGTTCAGTATATCAGACAATTGTCTGTTCTCTTGATTTAGGCAGAAGTGTAGCAGGTTTCTTGTTTTTTCCAGGAAACAATAAATTCCTTTTCCCCCCCTTTTGTCCTTTTATCTGTTTGTCTAATCTACAGAGTATTTTCCTGGACTCTCCTCTGTTGAAGTTACCATAGCTTGTTCTCTTAAAAATGAATTTTCGTTTTAAGTAGTTCTGTCTCCTCTCATGCTATGCTATGATATGCTATACTGTCAACATCTGTAAGCTTCTCCTCTGTTATGCTGGTCTCTTTCCTTCTTTTTTTCTGGATTTCTGCATTGCTGTAGGATGTTGGCCAATATGGGTTGAAGAACGGGAGAGGAAAGGTAAGAGATTAAAGAATGTCTACAAAATGGTGATAGTCATGTACTTTCCCTAGTTCTTCTTTTTCCAGTTTTTATCTGGAATTTTGGAAAGTGGGTCCCTAACTCTTATTCAAGAGTGGTCTTGCTGTTAGTGTAAAGGAAACCTTAACTCTTCCCATGTGTGCAACACTAAAAGAGAAGTAGAGGGAGAAAAAATGATGAAAGAAGGAATCAGTCTTCTGGTTGGTGAAGAAGAAAAGAGAAGTTTTTAATGAGCGCTAGGAGCAGTAGATACAGCTACTGTGTTAGGGAGAGAAATTAAGTATCTGACGTGGTAGATCTTCAGTTATTACAGAATTTTGTATGACAATGGGTTTTCCTATGTATCTAGGCTTACAGGTACTCATAAAAAATAGTACTTAACAGTGCTCTCAAGAGATCCATTGGTTATATAAAATTCAAGGAAGTTTTGCCTAAGATAGGAGATTCTAAAAAATACTTCTGGAGGGAACCTGCACTTTTTCACGCCCTAGTCATTCTTTCTCCTTTTCTTAAAAAAAAACTTGTTCTTGATGCCTTGGTGAATGTGTCCTGCTCCCTCTGTAGTCTGTAAGTAGCTTCTGTGTCGTGACCAGTACCATACTTTGTACTCAGTTGGGTTGACTGGGGAAGAAACAACAAATGGGAAGGGAGTGGCTAATTAAAACTGAAAGAGGTGACATTCATTCATGTTTGCCTTTGTGTTTAAGAAATCATACTTCATTCGCTAAAAGTAAGGATCCAAATTGAGAATTAGCTTACAATATAGATCATAGTGCTTGTTCATCAGCTCTCAAGTCTGTTAGTGACATAGTGAATATATAAGTATATGACATGTAAGTAAAAATTAGCTGAATTAAGAATATAAAAGTATAATTCAGTTTTTGTAAACACTTTCATAGCTTATCAACTTTCATAGCTTGCTTATATATTCACGTAAGGATTTCCCAGAAGATTGTCTCAAGCTTCTTGCAATAGTTGACTAAACTGTGCATAGTACTTTTCTGTAATCTTTTAAGATTAGGGAAGAAATTTAAGGCGTTACCCCTCAGCTTCCCACCAAGTTAGTGATCATGAAGAATAAGGTAAGTCTTCAAACATAGGGCATAGGGTTCAGAACAGTGGGGGAAAAAAACAAAACAAAATAAAAAACAAACAACAAAAAAAACCCACCTCCAAGCAGGAGTTATCACATAGTTTGAAGTCGCTAAGTGGAGTCTCAGGTTGTACAGTAGGCAGAATCACTTTAACATTGATGTGC